AGCGGGGGGGGGGGGGAGGAGGTGGGTATCTATTCTTACAGGTTTTTTCTTTTTTCCTCTATTAATCATTTCCAGGAACATTCTTTCTGATTAGTTAATGATTTCTAGATACTTTTTTTTTAGATATACCCAGAAGTAAGTTTTCCTATCCCCCTGCCCGAGTATCTCTCAATCCAATCAATTTGATAGTCAAGAGCAATCACCACATATAATCTGATTTCATTGATCTTTTCAAATAACCAAATTTTGCTGTTGTTCTGTATTGGCTTCCTATTTTCTATTTTTTATTCTCGTTTCCAGTTTGATTTATTTACTCACACTTATTTTGGATGTAATTTGCTCATCTTTTCTAGTTGCCCACAGCAGAAGTTGACTACTAATTCTCTTTCTTTGCTTTTCTAATAAACACGTTTAAAATGATACACTGTTTTCAGTGCATTGGGCCAAATTTTAAGTAAATTGTGTTTTTATTTCCCTTTAATTTTAAATCTTAAAATTTGTCTTGCAATGAAGTCTTTCATTTATTTATAGGTCATTTGGAAGTATGTTTAGTATCCAAATATTATGATATTTTTTTCCTTTCTTTTTGTTAATTGATATCAGTTTAATTGCATTGAAGTCTGAGAGGAAACACTGTATGGTTAGCATTCTCTCAAGTTTTTTAAAAACGTGTTTGATGGCCCAGATTATGGTCCATCTGTATGACTGCTCCTTACTAGGTTGAAAAGAATGTGTTCAGTGTTGTGTTGGATGAAGTGTTCGGTAGGTGATGGATGGTACTGTTGAACTCAACTCTGGCCTTACTGATTTTCTGCCATCAGGGTGCGTCCTTTACTGATGTTGGGTGTTGAAGTTTCCAACAGCACGGGCGGATGCACCTGTCCAATCAGCTCTTGCTTCACATAACTCGACTCTCTTTGTAGACAGTGAATACACTATGGATTATCTTTTCCTGAAAAATGAACTTTATGGTCATGACATGCTGTCCATTTTGTCTCTGGTAAAGCTTCCTGCCCTGATGTCTGCTTTACTTTTTAAATTAGAGGTAGCGTGACAAATTGATCTCCGCCCATTTACTTTAGACCTATATGCGGCTTCATCTTTAAGTGAACTTCTTTTAGACAACATATAACTGGGTCTTAATTTTTGATCCGATGCAAGAATTTCTTTTAATTATCATAACTAGACCACTGCCACTGAATATTTTTACTGGTATAGTTGGATAGTTATCTATATATTTGTTAATGTTTTCTATCAACTGCCTTTCTCATGATTCCTATCTTCCACTCTTCTGATTTTTGGTAGTTGTAACTGAGCATTTTAAACAATTGCTTCCCTCTGCCTTACTGTATTATTTTTTTCTTTTTAATATATATTATAATTATAATATTTTTAATAATTTTAATATACATAATAATTATATATACAATTGTTGTCCTAGAGGCTGCAATACACATCTTTAATAAATTCAGTACACATTTAGATAACACTTTACAATTTCATGAGTAGTGTCTCTTATATGAATCAAATACTCAGGGCCAGGGAGAGTGCTCAGTGGTTAAGAACACTGACTGCTCTTCCTGAGGATCCAGGTTCAATTCCCAGCACCCACAGGGCAGTTCACATGGCAGCTTACATCTGTCTGTAACTCTCGTCCCAGCAATCAGGCACCCTCACATACGCATACCTGTGGTAGAATACTTGTCTACATGTGTAAAGTCTCAGGTTCAATCCCCAGCACCAAGAAAAAGAGCCATGGAGGTGCATACCTATTATCCCAGCACCTTCCTCTGCTATTGTAGACCTGTGTGTCTGGCCTATTTAATTTTTCTTCTCTCAAAGAACTAAAAAAAAAAAAAAATCCACTATATCTTGTTAGACAGGTCTATCAGCAACAAACTCTTGATTTCTGTTCCTTTGAGAAAGTCATTTTTTTTTTGTAGGTTAATTTAAGAGATCTATGGGCCTGTTTGATTTGTTTGTTTGCTTGTCTTTTAATGAAGTCCCCAAGCCTGAGTGTTTTACAAATGAAAGTGTCTCTTTTAGCTCACAGTTCTTGAGCTTTGAAGGGTTTGGCTGTAACACCGGTCTTAGCTCCAGTAAGGATCTCAGGGCCTATGGCTTCATAACCAAGAGTGTGCATGAGAGGGAGTGGCCATGGAAGCCAGAGAGGCGGGGTCAGGGATGGGGGTGGAGTTGAGGGGCAGCCAGGCCTAACTCTTCCCAATCCTTTCACATGGGTGAAACTCAAGCGTTTCTTGAGAACAGTTTAAATCACTACAAGGTAGTGTCTCCCGTGACCTATGGACCTGCCACTTCACCCCACTGTGTCTTAACATCGTCACTCAGAGGACCACATCTCAGCACAGGAGCCCACAGAATCTCATTAGCAAAGCATGTGTAAGCCATAGCAACCTGTTCAGATTTCTAAATTGGTACCCTCCCCCTCTTTGCTTACATGGCTTCTGAAGAGAAGCTGGTTATAGCTTTTGTCTTTGTTCCTTGACAGGACCTCATTGTCTTTGGGTTTCTTTCAAGGTTTTAAAATTTTAATGTGTACCTTTTGAAGCTAATATGCCTGTGGGGAAGGTTCTGGCATCCGGCGTTGATTTGCAGGAATTCTCTGTCACGGTGGCTTTGCCTACTGCTTCTGGTTTTTTTTCCTCTTTTTCCCTCTGGTATTCCCAAGCCTGAAAGTGTTCTTGTGATTGTTTCACAGTTGTCAGACATTCTAGGTATCCTCACAGTCGTTTTCCCTTTTATCGTCAGCTCTGCAAGTGTCCACTGAGCTTATGCTTGAACCTTCAGCCCTGCCCTGACCATCAAAGGCATTCTTCATCTGTTAGTACTTTTTATCTCTAGCGTTTCCTCTTGGTTGGCAGTTTCCATCTGTCCCACCCACCGCTTCCTTTCCCCATTAGAATCCTTCCTCACGAACCAAACCGCTGTTGTTTTCACTCCCAGGCTGACAGTCCCAACATCCATCCCCACATTCCTAATGCTGATGCTGTCTCTCCTAGAACTCCCTACTTTTTCTTTTGCTTATTAATATGCTTTGTAATTTTTTTCTGTCAGACAGATGTGATGTACTAAACAAGCTGGACCATGGCCAACAGGCCATTAGTGGTGTGTTGGCAAGGTGTGGGAGGGAAACCATCTTGTAGCATTGCTGGTCCTATGGGCAGGCCCAGTTCTTTCATTGAACTTGCGCTTCCTGTGAACTGCGGCCGTGTGGTCCAGCTTCATTTTTCTTTGGAGAGGAGACAGGGTGGCTATTATTGACTGGAATTGGGTGTTTCTTTCCTTTCTCAGGGTTGAGAAGTTTCAACATATCCTCATTAGCTTACACCCTAGAAACTCACTTTGTATTTTGATCCTGGTCTAAGAACCATTGGTTGCTATATGATATTTCAAAATGTTTTTTCTCCAGCATCAGGGGGGTTCTTCTGATTATGTAAGTGAACATCTAGGTGTTAAACTCACAAAACTGGTGTGGCTCTTCCTACGATTGGGTACCCCTGGGATTTTTAAAACTTGGTTTGTCTACGCTAAGCCACTCTTTCCTGTTTCAGCACCGCTTTCCGGTCATTGGTTCTACAATTCTCTGGTACCCTTCTCCCCCACCTTTTGGCTTTTCTTTTCCATTCTAAAGGTAGCTGCTCTCTTCATGGCCTCATATCTACAACAGATATAAGAAGGGCTGTTAGTTATTTCTCTATTCAACTTTATATTTGTGGGTAGAACAGAGTGATTCCATACAATTTCCTGACTTGCCGGATGAGAAACTAAACATCCCTTTCCTTGTTGGTATTCCTCTCTGCAGAGCTCAGAGGTTTGGACCCTGATTGGAAGAGGTGTAAGGATGGATCCACTGTTGAAAGGAGATGGGATGGGTGGGTTGGCTTTTGTGCTTGCTACTCTACCAAGCTCGAGTCAGAGAGATGCTTAATAGACAATCCTGTGATGAGGTCTGGGACACAGCACATCCTGTATCTAATTTCAAGGTTTTTTTTAATACTTGTCATTTCTAAGCCTCCACTAATTTTTTTTAAATACTATAATTTACTATTCTCAGAATGAGCCATTACCCAAGCCTGGGAAAGGGAGGCTATATGTACGGCTACATAACTGTGGACTACTCTCACTCTGGCAGTGGTCACTGTCCCCACATACCAGAACAGGGACAGCAGCCGTTAAGCTCACCGTTATGAACTTGTAGCATCTACCCTGAAAGGGAGCCCGGACTTGGAGATGACAGGTGACCAGAATAGATCATACAAGTGGAATGGATTATAGGAAAGTTCCAGAAATACTTTGGGTAGGAAATTAAGGGTGAGATGAGGTTCCAGATTCATGGCAATGGCCATGAAAGGGGAGAAGTATCTCCAAGTGCTGGAGGAGTTGGGGACATCTAGGTCACCTGTTATACCCTTCAACTACTCCACTGGGCTCTTTCCGCTCATCACAGTTCTTTCTCTGAGCCCTACAAGCTGGTCCCACCCTATTCTTCCCCCTTTTACCTTTCTAGCATATTACTTTCCCCATGAAAGCTCAGAAAAAATTAACTCTACATACCTTTCTGTTTCCAAGAATCCCATTAGCGACAGTGTTTTGCTTATGATATAAATGTGGGAGCTAAGGACATCCGTCAGAAAAGAAATAAAACATAGTTCACTTGGAAACCTTGTATTCTAATTTGAGCTTTGTCTCTGACTAAAAACTCTACCTATTGATCTGTCTGATAGAATTATCCAGAATGAAAACAATTCCCTGAAGGACTTGGGATGCCTCGGTAAATCAATTCCCAGATCCTAAACCCCATGTGGGATGGGAGTTTGTCTTGATTGACAACCTGGTTGGAGGAAGAAATGCCTAGAATAATAACACACGTATTTCTGAGTATGTATGTCTATGATGATGGCTCCAGAGATAAGATCATAAAAGCTCTGTCTAGTTAAATGTTTAATATCTTGATGGATTCATAGTATTCTGGCATTACTGATGGTGGGGGCTGCAGAAGAAGCAGATCACTGGGCTATGTCCTTGAAGTGACATCTTGCCCTGGTTTCTCCTTGTATTCTCTTTCTCTACTTCCTAGCAACCAAAAGACGGCTCTTCTCTGCCACTCTCTCCACTTGAAGATGGGCTGACACCTCTGAAACCAGAAGCCAACATGAACAATCCCTCCTCCGATGCTGTTTCGCTAGGGTATTTGTTGACAACAAGGGAAGGCGTTGATACACAAGGGAAGTATGCAGCCCAGGCCAAGGATACTCACCAATGACAACCACATGTGCACAGTTGTCGCATGTCACCTCCAGGTCATTCTTACCAGGGGTCATTGGGACTCTTTCTTGGTTTCTGTCATTTCTCTCCATTGTGCTCCTGCATTAGCTCCTAACAACATCACCATTTACTTCTTGAGTTTCTTCCCTTAAGATTACCCTACCTTCTCAAGGACCAATACCCTAATCTATACTCCACTAGCCTCCTACTAGCTCTCCCCATTCCTGCTTACATCTTATACCCCCCAGCCCAATTCTTCTCCCAGACAGAAGTGAGAAACATCATTTTGAAAGCAAGGTTGGTCACTGCATGTCCTGCTCAAAGCACTCAAATCATGGCCAACCATGATTCCCAGGGCCAACTTCAAACTCTTAAAATTAACATGTGTGTGGTTTATGTCCTGCCCACTTCTGCTGTCTTTTCTCATCTACCATGTCTCTTAGTCTCTATGATCCTGTGGATCCACACTTGTGCCACGTCCCCTCCTGCCACTCGATACTCTCCATGGTCCCTCTGCACACAGAACCTCCTCCTCCTTGAGATGTTAGCACACACTTACCCTGTAGTAATTAGTCGTCCGACACCACGACAAAATACCAGGCCCATAAGCAACGGAGAGGAGAAGGCATCTATCTTAGCTTACAGTCCCAGAGGAGATATAGACTATTGTGTCAGGAAGGCATGGGAGCAGAAGGGAGGGGCCAGCCTGGCAGTCAGGAAGCAGACAGATCACATCTCATCTATACACAAGAAACAGAACAGGAGATTTCTTCCCAGAACCCAGCACGTACCCCTCTAACACTGTATTAAATATTAATGTGGAACTGAGCAAGTGTGGCTGGCACCGAGGCCAAGGGAGACATATGCTCACCCCTAAAACACGCACACGCGGACACGGACACACACACACACACACACACACACACACACACACACACACACACACACACTCTTTCATGGTCCATGCTCACCCGCCCAAACATACACATGATTTAATAGTCTGTAAAGCACCTTAAAGAGATTCCAGAGCCCAAAGCCTTTCTCTTCCTCCCAGGACACCAACTTCAGAGAGATTTCCTGGTTGACCCAAACATCTGCCCTGGCCTGTAAAAGGGCTGCCACTCACCCCTGCCCCACTTCCTCCCCACCTTCCTTAGCTCACCCCTCTGTGGGCTTGTAAACATGGGTGAGAACATCCTTCTGTCTTCATCCCTCAAGGCTCGGCACCTTCAGCGAATGAGACGACTGTTTTGTGCAGGGGAGTCAAAAGCTACAGGTTCAAACCCTGGTGCTTTCCCTTCCTAGTGACCATGGGAAACTCACCGCCTGTCTGGCACTGAGTTTTCCCGTGTGTCGTCGTGGGAAGGAGCTGAAGTGACAAAAGCTTCGCGTTTCTTTTTTAGCTCTGATAGTCTGCAGTTTTTATGACGGAAGGCACCAACGCCTAAGAGCAGACGGCTCGGCTCATCTTTCCACAGATGGCCCAAGTCCTAGTGATGGTTTAACTCCGCCGAGGGAGGCTTAACAACTCTGAAAGCTCTGTTTAGGCTCTTCATTACTCAGGTCAGTTCTAGCTGAGCCCTCGCATCCTCTTCCATGAGACACACCGCGGACAGCGAGAGTGGGAGGAGAACAAACGGTTCTCCAGGAGTGCTGACACGGACGGCTGATAGCATCGCTATGAGAACGCTGGCGAGTCTGGGGATTTTTCCTTTCCAAACATCTTCCTTTAGAAAACTGTCTTTGGAAACAACGCGACCTGATTTTCAGGGAAGGAACAGATAAAGTCCAAGGTTTTTTTGTTTTGTTTTTCTTTTTTGTCAAAGCAATGACTGTGATGCCTAAAGCCACAGGGAAAACTCAAACAAGAGCCTCTGTCTTTATCTGATTGGACCACACAGGCCTAAGGCCCATGGAAAAGCTGGGCAGTCAGCATCATGAACTGGGGACCAGGACACCATGGAGGTCCTCAGGTTCACACACAGACCACCAGACCTAGGCATCCACCCCCCTATTCTGAGACAGACCAATATTTCTGGATCTGCTCCAATCTTCAAGATAGGGAATGACTCCCTAGGAGCGGCACCTGCTCGGTCTTCACTCTCCTCACCTCCAGAAATACCGAGGACTTAACCCCTAAGATTTGAGGACTAAATATGAGCACCTCTGGACGATTTCACGCTAATCTCTAAATTGTTATCCAATTTTATTCTATACCAAGTGTTCAAATTATATATCATCAACTCCATTTTACAGGTGAAAAAAAAAAAAACCCTAAGGTGCTTCTCTGATATCAAAGGGTTATGGGAGAACAGAATTAGGTTTTAGTCATTTCTCAGCATTTCAAGTCTCATACTGCCAGTTACACCAAGAACTACCAGGGGCTTCACCTTCCCTCCCCACGACCCTCTCTGATAAGAAAGCAGCGCAAATAAGCGTAGCTACCACCCCTCATTAAAGAAGCCTCTTGTTACAGCAAATGGAGACCATCACAGAAACCACAACTAGACACAATGCAGAAGATAAACAGATCGTGGGGGACTTAGCCCCAGTGGATATATCTACATCACAGCTCCCACATCTATGGCTCAGCGAACATTGCAGAGGAGGGGGCAGAAAGTCTGTAAGAGCCAGAGTACCGAGATGCTGTGAAGCAGTCTCTCCTAGAAACGGCTCGTGGACAAGATTGGAACGATGACAATATCAAAGACTATATTAACATGGGAAGGGGAAATCTCATGGGGTCCATGCCTAGACCAAGAACTCCAGTCAACTAAAGACTACTGGGCAAAGAAGAATTAGTCTAGCACAGTGATGAGCGCCCTTACTTATTGTCCAATGAAGACTGGTCAGCCCTGAAATTATATATACACAGATAACAAAAATAGACTCAGTGGGTTGTTTTTAAATATATTCACACACACACACACACACACACACACACAAAATATGCCGGGTGGTGGTGGCGCACGCCTTTAATCCCAGCACTTGGGAGGCAGAGGCAGGCAGATCTCTGTTAGTTCGAGACCAGCCTGGTCTACAGAGCAAGTTCCAGGACAGGCTCCAAAACCACAGAGAAACCCTGTCTCGAAAAACCAAAAA